TGGAGGCTCAGGTAATTTACTCACCTCAGCCTCCCAAAGCATGGGATTACAGGGTGAGCCACCGATCCCGGCTAGCAATTCTCTTAACAGTGATATCAGTCTGTCCCAGGTGGTTAACATGTTATCTATGAAGAGGGACCCCCCCCAAAAAAACCCTAAAATTTATTTATAAAAAATTGTGTTTATATGTACTTTGGTTACCTTCAAAATACTCTCTGATGTAATACGCCTATTGAGATGCTTTTTCCACTGCTCAAAACAGTTTTTTGAATGTATCAATTCTGATGCCTTTTAGTTTTTGTTTTTTGTTTCACCTCTTCTACATCAGCAGAACATTTCCCTTTGAGGACTTTTTTCAAACGGAGGAAAAAAAAAAAAAGGTGAATCGGGAGGGTGGGGCATGGGGGGTATGCTGTTTTGGGTCAAAAACTGAACACTCAGCACGGTGTGGGCAGGTATGCTTGTAAATCACCCATCCCGAAATGGGCAAACACGTTGAAAGAATATCCCCCCCCGCAAAATTCACTGAAGCCAGTGGTTTTTCTTTGTGAGAAACTTGCCCATGGCAGGTCCTTCTGCCACGAATCTTCCTTTCTTCTTCTCTTCCTGTTAATAAACTTTGTTAAAAAAATAAAATAAGGGAGGCTGAGGTGGATGGATTGCCTGAGCCCACGGGTTTGAGACCTGCCCGGGCAACTTGGCGAGACCTCATCTCTACAATAAATAAAAAATTAGCCGGGCGTGGTAGCACGCACCTATAGTCTCAGCTACTTGGAAGGCTGAGGCAGAAGGATCGCTGGAGCCCAGCAGGTCGAGGCTGCGGTGGCTGGGAGTGGCCACTGTACTCCAGTCTGGTTGACTGAGTGAGACTCCAACTCAAAAAAAATAAAATAATTCAGACTGGACGTGGTGGCTCAAACCTGTAATCACAGCACTTTGGGAGGCTGAGGCAAGAAGATTGCCGAAGACCAGGAGTTTGAGACCAGCCTGGGCAACTTGGCGAGACCTTGTGTCTACAATAAAAATTAGCCAAGCATAGTGGCGCACACCTGTAGTTCCAACTACTTGGAAGGCTGAAGCGGAAGGATCACCTGAGCCCAGCAGGTCGAGGCTGCAGTGGCTGCGAATGTGCCACAGCACTCCAGGAGCTTGAGTGACAGAGTGAGACTCCAACTCTTGGGGAAAGCCTTTACTACCAGGGCCCTGCCCTCTAAAAAATAATTCTGGTTTTCCTTGAGTCCCCCTTCATGTTTCTGTGCTGGCTGTTTTCCATGCTTGGCTGCACATGTCCTAATGACACCAAAATCCCCAGACAGTGGGACTTGATCAATGTTCTAACGTTGCCCAGGTCATTCCAGTTGTAACCAAGGTCAAGAACCAGTACCGGCTGGGTGCGGTGGCTCAATCCTGTAATCCAAGCACCTCAGGATTGCCCAAGCCCACAGATTCGAGATCAGCCCGGGCAACTTGACGAGACCTCATCTCTACAATAAATTAAAAAGTTAGCTGGGTGTTGTGGCATGCACCTGTAGTTCTAGCTCCTTGGAAGGGTGAGGCGGGAAGCATCACTGGAGCCCAGCAGGTCGAGGCTGCGGTGGCCCTGAGCGTGCCACTCCACTCCAGTCTGGGCGACACAGTGAGACTCCAACTGAGAAAAGAAATAAAAGCAGCAGCAGCACCAGATACAGAAAAAAATTGTGAAGCAAATTTCACTTACAGGAAGATCTGTCACTGTTCCAAGAGCACTTGCATGAGACATAATTGGCCTGTACTCCTATTCCCTACACATCTGAGTGGGCAGAAACCCCCTTGCGTGGAAATTGTAACAAAATTTCTTATTTCAACAAGTTTTAAGTGTGCAATTCAGTGGCATTAACTACATTTACAATTTTGTGCAGCTATCATGCTTGTAGTTCCAAAACTTCATCATCCCAAGCAGAAACTGTAACAATTTATCCCTCCTTGTCCCTGCAGCTTTTGGTATTCTCTTATATTACACATTTTCTGCCTCAGTGAATTTGCTAGATAGATCATTTAAGTGGAAATTTACAATATTTGTCTGTCTTGCTTACTTCATTTAGTGTTTTAAAGGTTAATCCATGTTGTACATGTTGTAGAATGTATCAAAACTTTTTTATATTTTTAAATATTCCAGTGTGTGTACATATATATTCAACACACACATACACATATTAACCATTCATTCATTGACAGACATACGCAGGTTATTTCCATTAGGGACTACTGAGATTGCTGCAATAAACACAAGTATAAGTTCATGTTTTGTTTTGTTTTTTTGTAGTCATCCCTCAGTATACATAGGGGATTGGTTCCAGACCTCTCATAGATACCAAAATCCAAGAATGCTTAAGTCCGATATAGGCCAGGCATGGTGGCTCACACCTGTAATCCTAGCACCTTGGGAGGCTGAGGCAATAGGAAGTGCTTGAGCCCAAGCGTTCAAGACCAACCTGGGCAACATAGTGAGACTTTGTCTTAATACTTATTTTATTTTTTGAGTTGGAGTCTCACTCTGTCACCCAGACTGGAGTGCAGTGGCTGCTCCCGGCCACCGCAGCCTCGACCTGCTGGGCTCCAGCAATCCTTCCGAGTAACTGGAATTACAGGTGCGTGCTACCACGCCGGCTGACTTTTTTATTTATTGTAGAGATGAGGTCTCGCCAAGTTGCCCTGGCGGGTCTCGAACCCGCGGGCTCAGGCAATCCACTCACCTCAGCCTCCCCAAGCGAGGGGATTACAGGCTGAGTCACCGAGCCCAGCTGACTTTGTCTTTATATAAAAAAAAAAAAAAAAAGTCTGATATAAAATGCCATAAGAAGTTTGATTGTGGTGGTTCACGTCTATAATCCCAGCATGCTGAGAGGACTGCTTGAACCCAGGAATTCAAGACCAGCTTGAGCAATGTAGCAAGACCTCGTCTCTACAGAAAACTAAAAAATGAGCTAGGCCTGGTAGTACATGCCTGTAGTCTCAGATCCTCAGGCGGTTGTGGTGGAAGGATTGCCTGAGCCCAGGAAGCTGACTGCCATGAGCTATGATCATTGCCACTGCACTTCAGCCTGGGTGACAGATCTCAGGTCAAAAATAAAAATAAAGTGGCACAGAAATGTCTGTACATGTTCAATATAGTTTTTCTTCAAATTATTCTTGATCTGAGGTTGACTGAATCCACAGATGTGGAACCCACAGATGAGGGGCAACTATACACTGTTAACTGCTGGTGGGTTAATTCCATGTCTAGCTTTTACAGTAACTAACAAATCTTTCAACATTTGATATTCCTACCAGCAAAGTACAATTTCTCCACATTTTTTTTTATTGGAGCTATCCTAGGAGTGAAGTGTCTCACTCCTAATGAAGTGACTCACTCCTGATGACTAGTAATTGTTGTAAACTTTGTATATTATTTGTAAAAAAATTTTTAAGCCAGGCGTGGTAGCACATGCCTGTAATTTCAGATACTTGGAAGGCTGAGGCGGAAGGATCGCCAGAGCCCAGCAGGTCGAGGCTGCGGTGGCTGGGAACGGCTACTGCACTCCAGTCTGGGCGACAGAGTGAGACTCCAACTCAAAAAAAAAAAAAAAAAAAAAAAAATGTTTTTTAAATCTTTTAAACAATGTTTTTTTTTTTTTTTGAGCTGGAGTCTCACTCCGTTGTCCAGGCTGGAGGCATGCTCACAGCCACTGCAGCCTTGACCTGCTGAACTCAGGCAATCCTCCTGTTTCAGCCTTCCATGTAGCTGGAACTACAGACGTATGCCACCAGGCCAGGGTAATTTTTTATTTATTGTAGAGATGAGGTCTTACCAAGTTGCTCAGTCTGGTCTCAAACCCCTGGGACTCAGGCAATCCTCTCACTTCTGCCTCCCCAAGTGCTGGGATAGGCATGAGCCATCGCACCTGGCTACGAAGTTCATATATTAAAGCATAGGTTCATAGTAGAAACTTTTAGAATCTATAAATAAATCCAGTGCAAACTAAAATCTCATCACACATATTTTGAACAGATTAAACTTTCCTCTTTTTTTGAGGTGGATCCTCACTCTGTTGCCCACACTGGAGTGCAGTGGCCGCTCCTGGCCACCACAGCCTCGACCTGCTGGGCTCCGGTGATCCTTCCGCCTCAGCCTTCCAGGTAGCCGGAACACGTTTCACATCTACCAAAATTAGGGTAGCATTCTAGCAGACTAAAATGGTCAATGGTAATAGGTAAGAAGTTGTCAATTACAGATGTCACTATAAGACAAACATTGGTCTGGGAGCCTTTCTCACAAGTTTTACTTTCTCCTCTGAGGAGAACTTAAGATCTAGGTCGTTTCCAAGCCTGCAAACATTTAAGTTTCTGATCATAGCAAATGCAGAACCACAGACAATTTGGCAGAAGTTCTCTCCTCCTCTTTCACTCCAATGTTTGCAAAGTTTTATTTTCTTATCTTATTACCCAGTTCTCTATTTACTCCCCACCCTGTTTAATATTAAATATTTAACTACAGTTTAATAGTATTTTAACTAGTTAAAATGAAGTTACATATCTTAAGCCAAAGCTTTGATGATTTGGGAAAAAAAAGTTGTAGTGACACACATTGGAAATGCTTTGTAATCAGTATATTAAGGAGACAGTCATACATTTCAAGAATTGCTTAAATTCTGATATCCAGATTTAAGCATAAACATATGATGAGACTTTTAAACATACAATTAAAGCTATTCATAGTTTGCTATCCTACCAACATTAAATTACAGTTACGCTGGAGCATAAGTCAAATGGTTAAAAGTAAGCCTGTAACATACCTAAGGAACACCTTCCTATATTATGCATGCAAATTACTTCATGTGAAGGTCTCTTCACTTTAAATTTCTAAGATACCCAAGCTCTGGAAGTCACTACTCAGAGGCTTATTATGGTCCAAAGAGAAGGGAAAAAATAACCAGGATTGGATGGTGCAGCAGAAGGGAACATAATTCTAGAAGTGCAAGCCCTCAAGAAGCAGCATATTATGATAAGCCCCTTCTTTAGAAAGGCATCATTTCTATCACTGATACCACAGGCTAAATTATATATTATGCCAATTTCAAGTTAACAGTTGAGGCAATGGAATAATGCAGAGGCATCACAATGAATCCTACTTAATACAAGTAACTACACAGACCAATACTTCTCTACAAATTACGTTTTTTTGGATTGCCAGTTAAATACAGTTTTAATTTTATAGCTTAACAACGAAGGGTCACACACTGAAGCCAATACATATACCTAGCATTTCAGTCTAAGCTTGTCCGTGTACACAGTTGAAATCAATTACAAGGGTTGGCCTAAAAAATGCTAGGGAATTTCTTTTGAAGTAGTTTTTACAGGTATTAAACTTTATCTTGCACACTGAAGTCATCATACATACAGGGCAAAGTCAGAGCTTTTATATTTGCGTTTATTCTTCATTTAACTTTTAAAACACTACTATAGTAGAATATTAAAACAAAAACAATAGCAAGTAGTGAGCATATTATGATTACAGTCCTTCACTCATTCACTACTGCACATAGACTGCCAGCAGTGAGTGTAATTCACTGGCCCATTAAGAGGTTTGACACTGAACACCCCCTCTGGGATGATGTTCATCTTCCTCATATGCTTCTCCATTATAATTGCGCCTGACTGGATCAAAGTCCACAAGTTCTACTTGATGCATTCCATCAGTCTTTTCCACTTCCTTTCTCTCGGGTAGGAGTTTTTCCAGCAAAGAGAGTTTATCAGGAGAGAGAAAGCCATTCTCAGGAAAGTTCACCTAAGAAAGAAATTTCTACTTTAAGTCCAGTCTGATTTTATCATTAGCTCCTTAGACAAAAGTATCAGACTCATCTTCCCCAGAAAAACACACAATCTTAAAAATTTTTTAAATACACAACCTTCAGGTGCATCTGCCACACCAGGTTAGAACACGTGTGCTATGAGGCATGGCGCCTAGTGGTCTGAACTAGAGTTTAAGAATTGCAACAAAAACTAGGTCTTTTTAAAAAAGCCCTATTAGGCTGAGGGCAGTAGCTCACACCTGTAACCCCAGCATTTTGGGAGGCTGAGGCGGGAGGACTGCTTAAACGCAGGAGTTCAAGACCAGCCTGGGCAACATAGCAAGACCTCATCTTTACCAAAAAGAAATTATCTAGGCGTGGTTGTGCATGCCTGTAGTCCCAGCTACTCAGGAAGCTGAGGCAGAAGGATCACCTGAGCCCAGGAGGTTGAGGTTGCAGTGAGCTGCCACAGTGCCGTTGCACTACAGCTTGGGCAACAGACTGAGATTCTCACTCAGGGATAAAAAATAAATTTAAATTTAAAGTCTCAGTATATCATACTTGAACACCCATTGTTCTATCCAAACTACCTTTGTAATACCAAAACCCATCCTGAAATAGCCTAACTGTTCCTTAGGAGTTAACTAAGCTACTCTCCAACTCCAAAAGGTAGTAGCCCCACTCCTTATCCAAAAATTTTTACACGTATGTTCCTTTGTGAGTAAGAGGCCAATTTAAGACAGAAGAAAATGGCTGGGTTGTATTAACACACTAAGCATCATACTATTTTGCCAAGAAATCTGCAATTGTTATAATAAAGTATTTCTAGTGAACTTTACGACAAACTTTCATTAACTCAATGAAAGTGAATAACTCAACCCCAACTTGATAATAAGGAAAGCTGAACATGACTGTAGCAGTATTAGATCAATGTATTTCTTTCCAGATAAGGAATAAATATAACTTTGAGGTTGCCTGACATTCAAAAAATTTAATCTTTAATCAGATTTTATAAGTTAATCATTCTCAAATATTCTTGAGTCCTTTTTTTTTTTTTTACAGCTTACCTTAAATTCGATGATTAGGCGACCCTTTTCATATGGTCTACGATAAATTGGCATGCCCTCATTTAGCACACACTTGATATCTCCATGCTTGACAATCTGACCTAAAAATATTAAAGCCAAGTTCTCCCTTAAGTATGGTCATTTTTTAAGATGCAAAGAACACAAAAGGAATGCCCTTGCTCATTGGTATGAGTAAACTTTATGTGGTGACACAATCTTATTATCTTTCATTTATGGGTTTTCTAGGGGCTCCGCCAAAAGAGCTAAATCTTATAACTTCATCTCAGCCCAGAGGATACATATCAAAGAAAAATGCAAGTTTTCTCTCAACACCTGTACTACTTATTTGAAAGGATATAAGGAAAACATAATAGAAGGAGAAGCTTTGTGCTCGATGCAGTGACTCATGCCTATAATCCCAGCACTTTGGGAGGCTGAGGCCTCTGCCTGAGCCTACGGGTTTGAGACCAGCCTGGGCAAGTTGGTGAGACCTCGTCTCTACAACTAAAAAATAGTTAGCTGGACGTGGAAGCACACGCCTGGAGTTCAGCTACTTGGAAGGCTCGCCTGAGCCCAGCAGGTTGAGGCTGTGGTGGCCATGAGCACTGCCACTGCACTGCACTCTAGCCTAAGTGACAGAGTGAGACTCTTCAGTTACCTTACCTGGATGAGAGGTGATGACTATGGTTCGGTTGTCAAGGGTAGAGATTGGCTTTTGGAAGCCACACAATGCTTCAACTAGTTGTATGTCCATACACATGAAAAGGTCTTCTCCTCGTCTGTATAAATACAAACATGAAATGTATTTACATATCTCAAACCATCAATGACTAGACATAACAAAGTTGGCAATTGTGTTTCCTTCTTTAACAACAGCAAGGGTTTCTTTCACAAAGACATCCTCCCCCCATATTCTAAAATTAAAACAGAAGGTTAGGTATGGTGGCTTGTGCCCTAAATCCTAGTGGTTTTAGGAGGCTGAGGTGGAAGGACTGCCTGAGCCCAGAAGTTTGAGACCAGCCTAGGCAACACAGTAAGAACTTGCCTCTACAAAAAATAAATGAATAAAAGTCAGGAATGGTGGCATGAGTCTGTAACCCTAGATACTAGGAAGGTTGAAGTGGGAGAAGTGCTTATGCAGTGAGCCATGATAACACTACTACACCCCAGCCTAGGTGACAGATTGAGACTTTGTCTCAAAAATCAATCAAAATGCAAGCATTTGGAATAGCAAGCATTTGGGAATAGCAAGCATTTGGAACCTGCCATCCGTGCTTCCTGGATAAGGATTCAAAATCCTTCCACACACTGTAGGTAGCCTCTACCACTTACAATCCCTGAATTGTTTCATTATTTAATTTTCTCAGAAGGAGAAGAAAAAAAATTCTCACAAAAGCAAGGCTTTAAGAAAGCAAACATACAGTAGGGACAGAGGAAACTGGTATAAGCCAAACAGATCTGGGCTGAGTTCTAGATAAATTAGACTCTATGAAATTAAATAATGGGGACGTGACCAATTCACAGTAAGAATTTCCTTATTGATAACTGCCCACTTCCTCCTCCTCAAGCTTACATGTTTCTGTTTTCCAAGTAACATTAATAAAACATCTTTAATCAGGAAACTCCCCTTAAACAACAGCCATCAAAATCCTGAGCTTGACAGCATTTCACAGAGACACTTGTGAAATATTAATTATAAGTAGCTTCTTTAAGATGGTATCTGCAACCCTACCTCCAGTTTGTTAAGTTCTATGATATACTAAAAAAATAAGCCGGATGTGGAGCATGTGCCTCTAGTTCTGGCTACTTGGAAGGCTGAGGTGGAACGATCTCCTGAGCCAAGGAGGTCAACGGTGAGGTGAGGGAG